ATTTTTTTTATGTGTCATTAATATAAATGTGTGTTAGTATAGAAATCTTCTGGTTTAAAAACTTAGAATTGCACACATTTCAGTATGTTTATTTGTACTTACATAATTTTAGAATAGTGGTTGCCAATAGCCTGTATGTTTCACATTAATTGGTTTTTTTGTTACCTTAATAAACCATTTTAGTATGTTGTATGTCAGTTACTGGGATAGCTGGGACATAGAGTGTAATTTAAAATTTGTCAATAAGTATTCATTGGAATATATGTAAATGTGCCTTGCCGGTTATTGAAACTTACCTACAAAATGAGTATGGGGTGACAAAAATTTGTTCCTGGTGCTTAATGAAACTTTCTGCCACTGATTTTATATATTACCCCGTGCTTTTTTAAAGTACATCTTTCAAATCTTAGTGTAAGTTTGAGGGCTACACAGAACATTTACATTTCATTCTAACATAACGAGTATATAATAGGTTGTGGAAAGTGGGTAAACTAAATGTAGCCTTCAGTAAAATTGAATCTCAGTGTAATCCTTGGTGCTGGTATTTCCCAGATCCAAGGAGTTAAATAATCCCATCCGAGAGGTCATTGCCATGCCTATTGGCACTTAACTGTCATACCATTTTTAAGGGACACTGTCAAGGTGTTTAAGTTAATTCTCAGAATTATTTGTTGGGATTTTAGGACAGGTTTGTTTGATTTTTAAGTAAGAATTGCATTGTCAAAGTTTAAAGATGAACATTTTTGTGAGTTCACAAATGTGTTCTTTAAGAAAATATTAAAATATGGAGCTCTGTGGGTTTCCAAGACTATATTTGGCATTCTTAGTTTGGGGACTTGGGAGGGAAAACTGATGATATAAAGAAATTGTGAAGCATTGATGGTTATCCTTAAGGCTTATGTAAACAGTGGTGATGAAATGTGTACACACTCAAGTGAAATTACTTGACAGTGTTCATTTGAATAACTTTGAATTCAAGCCATTATAATTACTTTTAAAATTAAATATCATTTGCACTGTTCTGATAATGGGTGCAGTTTTTGAGCAATATAATCAGAGCTAAATATGCATGTAGTGATTAGTGATGTGAACAATTAAGTTCTGAGAAGAAATACTAACTGTGGTATTTTCAAACTTAAATTTCTGTAGTAAAATCAGTATCAAACTTATCAGAGATCAAGGAAAACAGGCAATGCATATAAACATAATTTTGAATGTTGTGTGGCCTATAAAGCAATAATGCAATTTATATGGAATGTCATGGGATATGAGAAATGGAAATGCAAAAATAACTAATCCTTTAGTAAAAATGTCAACATGTTAAAAGGGGGAATGTTAACTAATGTAGGTTATTGCTATTTGTGATTTGTTTATGGGTTCTTGGCTTTGACAGCTTCAAAGAATGGACAAATGACAAGTTAAAATTTTGTGTATATATTGTCAAGGAATGGGTCTTAAATCCAACAGTAAAGTCCCTTCCTTGGGGTGAAAAATGTATCCTTAAAGTATTCTGATTGTTAAAAAAGAAAATTTGAGTTTCCTAACCAAAACAGACGCAAGATTTTGTTTCTGCAGACTACTTGGCAATCAAAAATGATCATAAATTTAATTTATCAGTTTTCAGAAAATTGCTTTGTGAGAAAATTGTGTTTATTTGTATTCTCCTAAGCATGCATTTTGTAGAAGATTTTTAGCCGTTGTTACTGAATCAGATGTTAAAAGTGAAGGGAGAATTAGCACAGAAACAGGTATTGGATACCTATGATGGCAGTTGTAGTGTCATGAGAAGTTTTCACTGATTATTGCAGATATTACTTAAAATGTAAACATTTTTCTCATGATAAATTAAGAACATAGAAATGGATTGATGGGGTATCTGGGTTTTTCAGTTGTATAGAAGATATTTGAGAAGACATTTAATAGGATGAACATTCAACTACGTGGGCAAAATTGACATTTAGTACAGCTTTTTGACTGCTAAGCCAAAAATCAAACAGAAACAACAAAATACCACCCTGTTATTACAGAATATGACATAGTCTGTATTTCTGGGGAGAAATTAAAAAGTAGAAGGGCTTCATATATTAGATAAGAGCTAATTCTAGAAAAAACAGTTGCTCAGGTTCCTAAAACTTCTAAAAATACCCACCATGTCCGTTTTCTCCCCAGTTATGTATACCACAAAGTTTTTATCTAGGATTCAGTGGTGGGTACAAAATTAATGAATATAGAACTTTATGGTACACAAAAGAAACAGACTTGTGAGGATGGAATTTAAGGTGTAGTATTTACTCAGTAATCATACCACTCAACAGGGCATGCCACTACTTTAAGATGCTAATTATGAACCATTGCTCAGACATTTTTTTAACTGGGCAAATTAGTAGATGGACTTTTGTGGTCTGTCACTTTTTAAAAGTACTTAGGACATAAATTATATTAGCACCACAGTCTGCCTTCAGTAATACACCTAAAATATTTTTCAAGATGAGGAGCATTC